CCAACCCTTCCCCTCCCCGGTATACAGTACTATGCACCCCTTCCACGAACGCGCTCGAGGCGCTCGAGCACGCTTTAAAGCGGTACTTAAAAAAACGAGCATCGGGCCCGCACTCAATCAGCGCGCGGTTTCACAGCCTGAGAGGTCATGGCTGGTGATGCAGTTGTATCAGTCACCACCGTAGATTATTCGGTCAGTCTTAGGCGAGAGATCAGGCACTTCGTTGGACGAGGCACACTTTGAGAGGCACAAAAGTGTGCCTTACCAGCCACAGATATCAGTTCAGCTTGCCTGGTTGCGTGCTTGTGCGAGAAGCGCACAGTATTGGCAAGGATGCGTGTTCATCCAGAGGTGTTCACATGCACCGTAGCAGATGGGTGAGCGCAGGAGGAGTATAGTGTGAGGGCGTGATAGCATATACATAGTAAACATAGGCAAACGGGTTAGGGAAAAGGGCGCAGGGGGAGCTTGCAATGGTGGTGGGGTCGTATGAGTTGTAGTTTGGTATGCAGTGCGTCATGGAGAGGGCAAGGGTCAGGAGGGAGGGGCCAGGGGGGAGCAAAGGGGGTTCTTGGGTGTGGGCATACGGTATTACAGTTCCAGGTAGCGTAGTGGCTTTGTGTTAGGGGTTCGCGTTGTACAGGGAGGTGTGTTCAGTCGTGGCCGAGGAATGCAGTGTGAATCGCATTCTTTCACAGGGTCCGCGTTAAACTTTCTGTTTTGTTTTCTCTGTATTGTTGTATCATGGTCTGGCTATGGAGGCCTTTGTGTTGTGTTGGTCATATTGTCAGAGTGGTTTTGTCATGGGATGGTAGTGACGTTTCGACTGTTTGTCGTATGTGGGATGTCGCGTTTCTCCATATTGTCGTTTCGCATAGTGTAGTACATGCCTTGGCCGGGTTCACATTTTTTGTTGGTTGTCTTTATTATCCAAGTTTTTTTTTTTTAAGGTTTTTTTTTTTTTTTCTTTGCGTTTGGAACTGTTTTTCAGTGCATTACCGTGCTTTGGGTCCCATAACCGGGGAAGTCTGAGAGAGTGGGTGTCTATATTTGTGTCCATATTTCTGTTTATCATATGTGAGATACATTGTTTGTTCTTATGTGTGTTCCGCTAAGTTGTAGTTTGTTAATTAACTACGACATGTCTTTTTTTTCTTTTTTTTTTACTGTTCTTTTTTAGAGGGTTTTATTAATTTTATTATATTAAAAAAAAAAGGTTGAGTATTGATTTATAACGATTTATTAATTATTATTATATTTTTAATTTTTTTTTAAGGCTATATTCTTCTCTTAATTTCACCTCACACTACCTACCTACCACTACTCCTTATTGTAGGCATACGGGGAACACCGTAGCAGCCAGAACGGTGTTCACGAGAGAACATGCGAGGGCTGCTCCTGACCTGCAGGTGGGCGATACCGGCTAGGGGACAACCGGTAGCATCAGAGACCATGCCAACAGGACCAATCCCTGTGCCTCCCCTCAGGTCCCCTCCCCTACGAACATCAGCAGACTCTGGTCAATGTCAATCGGGGGATCGAGTGGTCTATCTCTACGTGGCGGGCGCCAAGCATGCCCAGGAAGGTACATGAGGTCAGTGGGGATTGAGCCCACGACCTCCTGAATGCCACTTGCGAGTCTTACCAACTGAGTTAGGCTGCTGGATTTATTTATTATTACTATTAAGTTGGGTCGCACCCCGTACGCGTACACAGTGCGTACGCGTACGTATTCCGGCGTACGCGAACAAACCCAAAATCACGCGTACGAGTACGTAAATTAAAAAAAAAAAAAAAAAAAAACATCAAAAAAATCTGAAACATATGTACGTTGTGCAGAATAATAATACAAACAGCTTTTGCCTGGGAGTCATACCTGAATTCCCAACCAGGATCGATTCAAAAATAAAACATCTTAAAGAAAAAAAAATAAAAAAATTTAAAACAACTAGCTTAGCGCCCGTGGTGCAGGTGGTGCGGGCAATGCCCGCACGTAAAAGAGCAGAGAGGCTAGTCAATCATGAAGATTGTGTTAAGATATTGATTCACCACCCACCAAACCCGCACCGGGGCGCTAAGAAGTGCGCATGAATGTATTGATTTTCATATATACTAAGGAATATATGTATTTTTTTTTTTTTCTAGTAGCGGGAGAGGGGGAGGCTCT